GGTGAGCCTGCATCTCGTCCTGCGTCGCCTGTTCATGCTGCTCGCACTAGTAATCGTGCTCCGCGTCCGCGTCCTCCTGCGGTCCCCGGCACACACCAGATGGCGCTGCGTCCTTCCACTGCTCCTCTGCGTGTCCCGTTGCCGTCTCCTCCAGAGTCCTTTCTTCCTGTTCTTGCTGACCCGGAGTCTGACTCTCTTCGTGCTGCCAGTCCTACTGTAACGCGTCTCCTGGCTACTGTTGTCACTGACCCTTCCTTTGAGTCCACTGCTGCGTCTGCCTTAGTTGCTCAGCTTGTCGACTTTGCTGCTCGCTGTCGTCTAGACTACGCCACTAGTCTCGTTGCTGAGTCTGAGTATGTCTGTCCTCTGTTTGTCGAGGGTGAGTGTGCTCTTAGCACGGACGTCCTTGAGGACAGGCAAGAGGAGTTCCGGTGTTTTGCTGGTGTTTTGCCTCATCTCGTGTCCACGCTGATTGCCCCTAAGGGAGACCCAGATGCACCAGACATCCCGACTCCTCGATCGTACGCTGAGGCAATCGAGGGTCCCTACTCCTCTCAGTGGCAGTCAGCCATGGACGCAGAGATGGCTTCCTGGAAGTCCACAATCACCTACGTCGACGAGGTTACCCTACCTGGGGCGAACATCGTCAGTGGCATGTGGATTTTCAGGGTGAAGCGGCCGCCGGGTTCTCCGCCTGTCTTCAAGGCGCGTTACGTGGCTCGAGGCTTCAGTCAGCGGCAGAGAGTTGACTACTTTCAGACCTTCTCTCCCACCCCAAAGATGACCACTCTTCGGGTGCTGCTGCACATAGCCGCTTAGCGTGACTACGAGCTTCACTCTCTTGACTTCAGCACAGCTCTCTTGCAGGGCAGCCTGCACGAGGAGATCTGGCTGCGCCGCCCACCTTGCTTCACTGGGTTGTTTCCCCCTGGTACCCAGTGGAGCCTCCGGCGGCCAGTCTACGGTCTCCGCCAGGCGCCCCGTGAGTGGCACGACACACTGAGGACTACATTTGCGGCTCTTGGGTTTGCTCCTTCTACTACCGACCCGTCGCTGTTTCTGCGCACCGACACCTCTTTGCCGCCGTTCTACATCATCATGTACGTCGACGACTTGGTCTTTGCCACTGCTGACACTGCTGGACTCGCCCACGTGAAGTCGGAGCTGCAGAAGAGACACACGTGCACAGACCTGGGTGAACTGCGCAGCTACCTTGGCTTGCAGATCACCCGGGACACAGCACAGCGCACCATTACCCTGACTCAGTCACACATGGTTCAGCAGGTCCTTCAGCGCTTCGACTTCACGTACTCCTCGCCTCAGGCCACTCCTCTGTCTACTCCTCTGTCTACTCGCCACTCGCTCTCAGCTCTGCCTTCGGATGAGTCCTTAGAGCCAAGTGGCCCGTACCCAGAGCTTGTTGGCTGCCTCATGTACCTGATGACCTACACATAACCTGACCTTGCATACCCTCTTAACATCTTGGCACGCTATGTTGCTCCTGGGAGACATCGACCAGAGCACATGGCTGCAGCGAAGAGGGTGTTGTGCTACTTGTGCAGTACGTCGGGCATGGGGCTAGTGCTTGGAGGGCGACGTTCAGTGGTCCTCACAGGTCACGCAGATGCTTCTTGGGCTGACGACCAGGCTACGCAGCGGTCGTCACAGGGTTACACCTTCAGCCTCGGTTCCGGCTCTGTTTCGTGGCGGTCTACCCGCTTGTCTTCTGTTCTCAGCTCCAGTTGTGAGGCTGAGATCTACGCGGGGGCCATGGCTGCACAGGAGCTACGTTGGCTCACCTACCTGCTGACTGACCTAGGAGAGCCGCCTCGTTCTCCTCCAAATCTGTACGTAGACAACAAGGCCATGCTGGCCTTGTGTCGGGAGCACAGACTGGAGCACAGAACGAAGCACATTGCTCTTCGCTACTTCCTTGCTCGTGAGCTGCAGCAGCGTGGTCAGCTGCGCCTTGCTTACGTGGCCTCTGAGGCCAACACTGCAGATATCTTTACCAAGGCACTTCCGCCTTGTGATCATCAGCGGTTCTGTACGATGCTAGGTCTTGTGCCTACTTGGCCTCACTTGCTCACTTCTTGACCTTGCTTGTATTGTGATCTTTCTATACCTGCACTTGCTTATTTACCTTATATATGATCTTGCATGTGAACTGGCCTTGTGGCTTTGAACTTGTGCTCGGAATGTGTGGTGACGTTGTGATCCACCCTGAGCTTGCTTTGCTTTGCTTGACTGGTCTTGTGACCCCTTGTTCTCCCCCACTTTGCCTATGGGGGTGTGTCAAACTCATATGCTCTAGTCTGTGTAGGCTGTAGTGGGGTAGACAATATGGGGTACAACACTTTTAGGTTTTCCTACTTGTACCCACCTGCTTGCTAGTTCATTCATTCCTCATTTCTTCACAACGCGCTGCGTGTTTTTCACGTCAGAGTGTTCACTCTTTTGCTTTGTCGAAGTTACGTAAAATTTATGATTTTCTCCCCAAATGAACTCATGGGACACGCCCTAATCTTGTTGTACTGCTTAGTTGGTTAGTTGCGTAGCTTACCACTCGATAGATCACTTTCGCTTCACCCCGCCGGCAACCTTAGTCCAGTTACTTACCATGTGCCCCATGCGCTTGTCCCCGTGCGGCAGCATGCGGCGGATCTTAGCGTCGACATGTGCGACGTTTCAGACGTCTAGATCGTTACGTCTCGCACTCTTAACGCTGCTACAACCGAGGCTCGTGACGTCCGCCATAGACGAGAAGAGGTCGCGCAGATCGATTATCTGTGCGACGCTTCCGCTCGCGTCGCCAAAGTTCGAAAGCCGCGCTTGCTGAAACTTATTTACCTGTCCCACTCGGAATATTGCTGTGATTCATCGGTTCGACGTGCTGCTGCTAGCCGTAGTTGCGGCTTCGGGCACCGTGCACTCTCCACGGATGTGAGGCACCAGCATCCTTAGGCACCATCTGTTGCGCTATTTCTAACGCGTCGGGCTCAGCTTCCCCTGCATGTCGGTGTGTATACTAGCGCGGCCTGCTTTTGTATTCAGATTTGCGTCAAATAAATGTATTATTGTTGTAACAATGTTATGTTTCCTTTATTTTCTCTTTGGCAGCGACGCGACACGACTGATGCTGACCTGACAGCAAATGTTACTATGATGAGGGAATTCTCGCCCTCACCTCTCTCTCCCGCCAGCACCGCCACGCGCCGGCGCGCGAGCATCACCAGGCGGCGGATCGCGCGCCATGAGAGGCTCGGCACTACCTTGTGAGAGGCTCGCCACAGCCAGGTGAGAGGCGCGGCGAAGTGCCTTTTCCGCGCTGCAGGCGCGGCGATCTGCCTTTTCCGCACTGTTTCCCGCCGTTTCCCGCCATGTCCCGCTGTCCTGCTGTTTCCCGTTGTTTCCCGGCATATCCCGCGGTTTCCCGCGGTTCCCCGCGGTTTCCCGCAATGACGTGGCGCTGCCAGCGACGATGTGGCGCTGCTGGCATTGACGTGGCGCTGCTGGCATTGACGTGGTGCTGCCGAATTGACCTGGCTCCCTTCAACGTTCCGCCCTTCAACGTTCTGCCCTTCAACGTTCCGCCCTTCCTCAATCCGTCCTTCCTCGCTCCGCCCTCCTCATTCGTCCCTTCCTCTGCTGCCCTTCCTCAATGACGCGCGAGCTCACGCAGCAGATGCGGGACTTGGAGAACGCGATGTGCACAGCGGACCCGTGCAACGGGTGCTACAGATAGATCGAGCGCGAGGTGGCACGCGGCGTACCGAGCGGCTTGCGGCAGGCGGCGGATTGAGCGACAAGCGGCAGGGTAAGGTGCTTCACACTTCAGGACGGTTGGATTATCATGTTTTTGTGTTTTGTGTTTTGTTCCGGTTTTTGTTTTTGTTTTTTTTGTTTTTGTGCAAGATTGAACATTTGGGATACGCCCTTGGGAACACTTCACTTGGAGTACAGCAGCAGGATCCGAAGCTCTCGCACGTAGGCTCGTAACTCAGGTCTGGAAATGTAGGTCCTCGTCTTCTCCCTCCACCCATCCCACCCTTGTTGTACCCTCCTGCCGCCCCATGCAGTTGCTCTGCTTCCCCCATTCGTGCATGCTCCGCCAGTCATGTGCGGGACGCAAAGAACGTGATGTGCGCCGCGGACCCGCGAGGCTTCACGCGGCGCATCGAGCGCCATGCTCGTTCCGGAAACACGGTGAGAAAATCACTTCCTCGTTCCTCCCCTTGCCCGTTCCGCCCTCCCTCGTTCCGCCCTCCCTCGTTCCGCCCTCCCTCGTTCCGCCCTTCAACGTTCCGCCCTTCAACGTTAAGCCCTTCAACGTTCCGCCCTTTGAATTCCACCCTTCCTCAATCCGCCCTTCCCGAGCTCATGCGAAGAACGTGATGTGCGCCGCAGACTCGCGAGGCTTCACGCAGCGCATCGAGTGCCATGCTCGTTCCGGAAACACGGTGAGAAAACTGCTTCCTCATTCCGCCCTTGCTCGTACCGCCCTTCCTCCTCGTTCCGCCCTCCCTCGTCCGCCCTCCCTCGTCCGCCCTCCCTCGTCCGCCCTCCCTCGTCCGCCCTCCCTCATTCCGCCCTCCATCGTCCGCCCGCCCTCGTTCCGCCCTTCCTCACACTTGCCATCCCGCCATGCCGTGACTAACACTTGCCATCCCGCCGTGCCGCCTCTCACACTTGCCATCCCGCCATGCCCTCACTCACACTTGCCATCCCCATGCCCTCACTCACACTCGCCATCCCACCATCCCCCGTATGCACCTCCTGTCCTCCCCTGTTTTCACCTCCTCTGCCCCCCGTAATCACCACAAACTGAGAAACCTCTAGGCCGCTGGTTGTAACGAATCTGAGGCCTGAACCCAGCTCACTTTACAAGGGTAACCAATTATTTTACACGAAAACAGCCGGAAGCCTAGAGACCCAAATGTAGATGGCAGCTTCATTCCCCACCACTCCAATGGCTATGTGTAGAAGTTACACTGACGGGCTTAATGAGCGCAAGTGAAAGAGCGGTACGGGTATCTAGGGTAGTTTCTGTTGAGTGGGGGGTAAGCGCACAAGAAGGTAAGACAGAAAGGTTTTGATGCAGAGCGTGGCCAAGACACGAAACGGAAGATCTGGCTTGTGAGGCTTTTGAGGGGAGCGACTTTTGAGGCGCCTTCAAAGGATCTGGCTTGAGTTCAAGCCAGATCCGGCTTGTTTGAGAACTGGCATGCAAGGGAGAGAAGAGGGGAGCGGAGGAACTGATGGGGTCAGGAAGCGCACAGTAGAAGACAGAATGAATTCCTATGACACAAGCATGGGTGTAGGTGACACTTGTGTGTTGTGCGCATATCATAGGCGTGCATGCATGTGCCATGCTTGCATGTGCGTAACTCACAGGTGCGTGTGCATGTCTAATGCATGCATCTTTTATCCTGTAGTCTAGGATAGCAACAGGTGGCAGTTGGTGACTCACGTGTAACCGGAGCCACTCATTCCAGATCCACCAGAGGAAGGGAACGAAGTGTACGTTCCAACGCACCCCTCCTGGGTGTAATAATTCACAGAAATGCAGTTCCCCACCCCTCCGGACACCTTCTGTACGCTCCAAGTCGACCGGATTTTTGAGGAAACTGAGGAGGGAATGGTGGTGCAGCCGTTGTATTCGAGGCGCATGGTGTAGGTGGTGGGAGTGATGGTGTAGTTGCTCTGGTCGTAGAAGGTCATGCTTGTATCAGAGACCGTGGGGGCGGCGCCTGCACGCAAGGGCAATGAGAGCAGCATGGCCAATTGTGAAAAAGGAGAAAGAGGGTGATAATACTGGTGAACCAAAGCAGCATGGCAGCAGAAGGTACGGACACAAAGTAGGAAGGTGACACTGGTGGAGGGGGAAGTTACACATGGCAGGGAAGCGGGGCATGCAAAAAAAGAGCGCAAGGGATGGGAGGGGGGGTTGCGGAAGGGGAAGGGAGAATTGGGGGTAAAGAAGGAGTTGCTGGTGGAAAGGGACAGAGGGGACGATAGTACAAATGGGGGTGGGATTCATATCCCAACCTCATCTGGTTGGGAACACTCATTTGGTTAGTCCAATTAATATGCCAACTGAACATTGACTTGAAGATCTGGTATGTTTCCCATCACATCGTCTCCCTTTCCCTCTGTAAATCCAATTCATTTTGTACGTAATAGGCATGCACACAGGTTGAGTTGGGCACACAAGTCGAGTTGGGCACACAAGTCAAGTTGGGCACAGATTTTTTATAATGGCTTGGACAAGTCGAGTCGAGCCGAACCGACTCGTTGAGCCTTTTTCCGGATTGTAGAGTCGTCGTGACAAGCCTTTGGAAGGCAAGAATGAGTTGGCCGTTCTAGTGCAGCTAATTAGCTCATTCTTGTCTTTTGTGCATTGCAAAATGGCGATCTGTAGAAGGTGATGTGTTGTTTAAGGGAAGATAACACAGGAAGGGTCAACACACAGTGAAAATACCTGGATGGGGAGCAACATTAGTGATACCTAGAACGCAAGGAGCATTGGTCTTACCGCTGATGCAACCAGTGCTGGTCATGCCATAGCCGGGAGGGCAGATGCAGTATGGCATCTGGCCGAAAGCAAGAGCGCACGTGGCTCCAGTAGGGCAGTTCCCACATGTGGCGGGGCCTGGGGAGGTGGGGACGTGGGAGATGGAAAGTGAGAAGAAGAAACCATCACCGCACAGCACAGCACGCACAGCACGCACAGCACAGCACAGCACAGCACAGCACAGCACAGCACAGCACAGCACAGCACAGCACAGCACAGCGCAGCACAGCACAGCACAGCACAGCACAGCGCAGCACAGCACAGCACAGCACAGCACAGCACAGCGCAGAACATCATACATGGCATGGGGCAGCACGGCACAACACCGTATAACATACAATGGAACATCACAAAACGAGCACAGAGGGCAGCAGAACACAGTAGGGAGCAGCACGCACGCACGGACGCACACGCCACACACGCACACCCACGCCCACACACACGCACGCATGCACAAACGACGCAGTGGCTACGGCACCCACAACAAGCAGTAAGGCAAACAACAGAACAGGACAAATCCCAACTTGAAGTGACTTTTGGATTGACCAAACTACACATAAGAGATTATCAAAAGAGAACTTTCGAAGGGGGTTTTGGAGTTGCCGCCACAACACGCACCGACGCAAATGCCGGAGTTCATCTTGTAGCCGGCCTTGCACACGCAGGACGCACCGCCTGCAGCGTCCATCACGCAGTCAGTCGTGGGATCGCAGATCTTGGTCCCACAGCCCACTGAGGGACGACATCAGAGGGGAGCCGTATGGTCAGAAGAGTAAGACAAGTGAAAGAAGGGGAGAGACAGCACCGCGCGGAGAAACATATAGCAACACACAACAGCGCACTAGCGCACTGAACAGCACACAGCAGCACACCGCAGTGCACGCCTGCAATCAACTGTAAAATACACTCTAACCTAGTTCAACCATACACTAATTCAATTTGGTAGAGTAGGTAGAGATAATCACTCAAACCTGGCTTGAAGTGCACAACTACATTTCACCCTTTTGGGGATTGGGTTCCAGCCAACCTTGGCCGAATCATCTGTTCGTCAGTAAGAGCTTGGCAGGTATTATTGGCATGTCAATACTCCTCGTGGTTCATTCGGAGCATGATAGCTGGGCCAATCCCCTCAACCAACCAACCAAGACGATGTAAACCTCCCAATTTTATGTTTCAAATGACGGGTTGTCACAACAGCAGCACATACCAGCGCACGTCCTGCCGTCGGTCTGCAGAACATAGCCGGCGTCACAAACACAGAAGGCCACTCCTGCACTGTCCTGAACGCACTTGCCGTTTGCCCCGCAGCTGTTGAGAGCGCATTTCTCTGTGAGAGAGGAGGCAACATCAAGGGAACTCTGGTATAGATGGACATGCAAGCAGCTTGTGCGCATAGGGAGTTTGTGGGTTGGAGGGTTGGGAGTGTTGCACGGTTGCAAGTCACGAGCAGGCCTTGTGCCACTGCAAGCAAAGTGCGCAGCACAATGTTTTGTACGAAACACGCGAATGCGTCTTATTGACTGAAGGGGCCAGGTGCAAAATGAGATGTTAAGTCGACGCATTCTCAGCAAAGAAACGCCAGTGATTGACTACGAGCTGTTAACTGAAGGGGCCAGCAGATACAGGGGCAGATAAAGGAGCACAATGCCTCACCAACCAACATCATGGCTTCACCAACCAACAGAGTAGCACTCACCAAAGATAGAGCAGCCGAAGGAGCGAAACGGAGATGCGTAATAAAGCCTGTTGCTGTCACAAGCAAATGCACAGGTAAACAATTATATGTCCGCATGCAAAAACCAGTCCCAAGCCAGGCAAGACGGGCTTTTGGAAAAACGCAGTGCACACGAGAGAGAAAATAAGAGGGTGATGGAGAGGGAGAGGAGGGGTAGCAGAGTGGTGGCAAGCAGTAGGTGGAAGGTAGGTTGGCTCAGTGGCTTACGGAGCACTCCCAGTGCTGAGACCGGTTCCCGTCGCAAGATGAAACAAGCTATAAGTTCCGATGCAACCCGCCTGGTAGTAAGCACGGATCTCAAGGCAGCTTCCCACGCCTCCAGGGGCGTTCTGCACGCTGCCATACGACTGGACGTCCGATGCACTGGAGGCTGTGAGGTTGGTGCAGCCGTTGTAGGTGAGGCGCATCGTGTAGGTGGCTGGCGTTACGCCGTAGTTTGGGAGCGTGTAGAAGGTGAAGCTTGTCGTGGAGACGGTGGGGGTGGCGTCTGCAAGGGGTTGGCAACACAGGGTGGTGAAATGTCAAGTGTGTTATGAAAAAGCTTGGGAGCATGCAGAAGGTGAAGCTGGTCGTGGAGACGGTGGGGGTGGCACCTGGAAGGCGAAGGGAAGAAAGGCTCCAAACGCTTGGAAGCGTGTCGAAGCAGAAATTAGGCCAAGACACAGAGGGAGGATGCTTTCTAAAGGCGAATACAGCAGAAGATGAAAAGGCAAGAGGGGATTGCTCTAACTCGATCACATAACATTTTTTTCCTCTCACTTCCTAGGAACTCTCTCAAAACAATGGCATACCTAGGACGCAACCAACGGCGGTCATGCCAGAACCGGGAGGGCAGAGGCAGTAGGCGGCCGTGCTGTACGCAACTGGAATGCAGCTGGCCCCTGCAGGGCAGACCCCACACGTGGTAGGTGCTGTGGAGGTGGGGAAGAGGGGAGCATACAGGGTCAAGCGAAGTGATGAAGAAAAATCACCTTCATCATGCAGTGTGGGACGGACGTTGCCAATCGCAGCAGTGCATGCGAATGAACTAACGAAACAGATAGTGGGTGCAGCATGCTCGGTAGAGCGGGGGCAAGCACGGGCAAGCCATGGCAAGCCAAGCCGTGGCAGCCTGGCCTGAAAGCCTGGTCTGGCATGCGGTTTAGACTGGTAGAACTTGCTCGTACACGTGCTTACCCCTACATGTGCTTACCCGTACAGGTGCCCGATACGTTGATGCAGTTGGTAGCTCATTCGGTTTTTGGTGGAACTTACTTGATACGTTCTGATAGCCCGTCTTGTAAACACAGGAGGCCGCGCCTGCAGCGTCCTTCATGCAAACGGAGACCGTAAGATTGCAGCTCTTGACGTCACAGGTGTCTGAATGGAGGTAGGATGGACGGAACATGCCATATTGCATACCACATGGCGTATTAGACACGAGAATTCGATTCGAGCCAAAACTCGACTCGAAATTCTCACTCCCGAGTTTTACTCGACTCGAGTAGAATTTGTTCCCCTCGCACTCGAGAGGAAAATAAAATCACGAACTGAGTGGCGAGTTTCGACTGTTATTTCTGCCGAAAAAAACTTGCTCGGGTTACATCATAACTAGACTCGATAGCTATTCGAAGCTCGTCTAAACGAGTCAGGTAAAACCGGACATGCCCAATCCTCATGTCTATGGCATATCATATGACATAGCACAAGTCATGTCATGGAACAAGGCACAGCACATGGCATGGCACATACCGGTGCATGTGACGCCATCAGGCTGCAGCACGAAGCCAGTGTCACACACACAGGACGCCACTCCTGCAGCGCTCTTCACGCACTTGGCGTTACCAGCACAGTTTCTTTGCACACATGTGTCTGCCAAGGCGAAGGGCAACAAGGAACAGTGAATGGGAAAGGTAACATGTGTATGACGAGAAACAGGGAGTTATTAGGCATGGATCGGAAGAAGGAACAGAGCGAGTATGACAGCAGCAAGGTACAGTACATACCAGTGCATGTTTTGCCGTCGGTTTGAAGAACAAAGCCAGCATCACAAACACAGGAGGCCACTCCAGCGCTGTCTTTTGTGCACGTGCCGTTGCCTCCACAGGCCTTGAGTGCACATGTTTCTGGAGAGGCGAGGAAGGGAGATTGAGATTTCACGTTGTCGCACATGGTATAGGACGTGGCATCGCACATGGCAACGCACATGGCAATGCACATGGCAACGCACATGGCACGGCACATGGCATCGCACATGGCAACGCACATGGCAACGCACATGGCACGGCACATGGCATCGCACATGGCACGGCACATGGCACAGCACATGGCATCGCACATGGCATCACACATGGCATCGCACATGGCATCGCACATGGCATGGCACATCACATCGCACATGGCATCGCACATACCAGTGCATGTGGTGCCATCAGGCTGTATCTCGAAGCCAGAGTCACACACACAGGACGCCACCCCTGCAACGCTCTTGACGCACGTGGCGTTGCCACCACACCGCTTGAGCACACATGTGTCTGCGAAGAAAGTGCCATGACGAACAATCGATGGGGAGGGCAATATGTGCAGGAAGGGAAACAGGAAGGTATAAGGCATGTGTATGTGAAGGGGGAGGGGTAGAAGGAACAGAAGGAACAGAAGAAAAGTACCCGGCAGCACATACCAGTGCATGTCCTGCCGTCAGTTTGAAGAACAAATCCAGCGTCACAAACACAGGAGTCCACTCCAGCACTGTCCTTGGTGCATGTGCCGTTGCCACCACACGCCTTGAGAACACATGTGTCTGCCAAGGCAAAGAGGGACAAGGAAAAGTCAATGGGAAGGGCACCATGTGCAGGAAGCAAAAAACTAAGTTATGGGGCATGCGTATGTGAAGGAAGAGAAGTGGACCGTAGAAGGACAGCATGATTATGGCAGGTAGCAGCAGCATTTATGAGAAAAGAAGCACACACGCAGCAGCACGTACCAGTGCATGTCCTGCCGTCGGTTCGAAGAACAAAGCCCACGTCACAAACGCAGGAGGCCACTCCAGCGCTGTCCTTGGTGCACGTGCCGTTGCCACCACACCTCTTGAGCACACATGTGTCTGCCAATGCAAAGAATCACAAGAGTCAATGGAAGGGCATCATGTGCAGGAAAAGAAACAATGAGTTTTCCCGCATGTATGTGGGAAGGGGGAGAGGAGGACCAGAGTATGACTGGTAGCAGAAGAATGTGTAACAAGAGGACACAGCAGCACATACCGGTGCATGTCCTGTTGTCGGTTTTAAGAACAAAGCCCACGTCACAAATACAGGAAGCCACTCCAGCGTTGTCCTTAGTGCACGTGCCGTTACCACCACACCTCTTGAGCACACATGTGTCTGCCAATGCAAAGAGTCACAAGGAAAATTCAATGCGAAGGGCAACATGTGCAGGAATAGAAACAGCGAAATCGAGCATCTGTGTGTGTGAAGGGGAAGGGTGAGTATGACAGGTGGCAGCAGCTTGTATAAGAAAAGAAGAACGCACGCGGCAGCACGTACCAGTGCATGTCCTATTGTCGGTTTTAAGAACAAAGCCCACGTCACAAACACAGGAGGCCACTCCAGTGCTGTCCTTGATGCACGTGCCGTTGCCTCCACACTTCTTGAGCACACATGTGTCTGGAGAGGGGGGATGAGCAAGTGAGGAGACTTGGACTGAGAAAAACAGGAGAAGAAAACGACTGGCCCACACACATGACAAGCCTCTACAGGCTGTTGGTCTTGCCTGACACACCTGTTGCTGCTACAGGCTGTTGGTCTTGCCTGACACACCTGTTGCTGCTACAGGCTGTTGGTCTTGCCTGACACACCTGTTGCTGCTACAGGCTGTTGGTCTTGCCTGACACACCTGTTGCTGCTACAGGCTGTTGGTCTTGCCTGACACACCTGTTGCTGCTACAGGCTGTTGGTCTTGCCTGACACACCTGTTGCTGCTACAGGCTGTTGGTCTTGCCTGACACACCTGTTGCTGCTACAGGCTGTTGGTCTTGCCTGACACACCTGTTGCTGCTACAGGCTGTTGGTCTTGCCTGACACACCTGTTGCTGCTACAGGCTGTTGGTCTTGCCTGACACACATGACAAGCCTCTACAACAGGATGGAGGCCTAGCCTGCTGCCTGACACACCTGACAGGCTCCGGACACAGCAGCAGTCAACCCGACAGCAGCACTCATCTCAACCAGCAGCACAGCAGCACACACCGACACAGCCTTTAGGGGTCATGGCGAACCCAAGGTTGCAGATGCAGGTGGCGTTGCCCCTCTCCTTCACGCACACTGCATTGGCGCCGCAGTTGCGCTGCACACACGAGTCTGGCGGGTCATTTCCAGAAGGAACAAAGAGGAACAGAAGAACTGAGAAGAAAGATACCGAGCGGAACAGAGCAGACTAGGAGAACAACAAGGACAGGAAAAGGGACGAGAAGAGAAAAAGCATAACACCCCGCTACCCCCTGGGTCAGGGTTAGGGTTTAGGGTGTTATTGAGGCGCAGTGGATGCCCTGAACACTACACAGCCCACCACAGGCGTTGCACTCGTCCCCCCCTGGTGCCAACGTCTTCGTTGGCTCTGAACTTCAGGGAGTCGGCCTTCGCAGGGACCTGATGATTTTGCTGTACTCCGAGCAGCGACTTCGCTGGGGGGTCAAGCCAGCGGAGGACCGTTCGCTGGTTTCGATTCTCGTGGCCACATTCTAGTTCTGGTTACATGCGGAAACTGTGGACCAGCCGGGAATCGAACCTTTGGCTCTGGACCCAGTATGACACCTCGCTAAACACTGGGTCTAAACGAGGATGGTATGTAGGTGCAGCGGATAGCCTTAACACTAGCCCAGAGGCGTTCCAAAAAGACGCATCACACCCAAAGAGCTTCCTAGACAAGACCAGAGACATCTGAGTGTGTGGGGGGTTGGAGGGGGTGGGGGGGTGTGGGGGGGGGGGGGGGGGGAGGGTGGGGGGAGGGTGGGGGGGGGGAGGGTGGGGTGGGGGTGGGGGTGTTGTGGGGTGAGTAGGTATGGACGGACGGAGTGATGGAAGGATTGCTACTAGGAGTGGCGAGCGTCATACCCTTTGAGGGTGAAGGGCAAGGAGTCAGATGGGCTTTGCAAGGGCTCGAGTCAGGTCTGCGTGCTGACTTACGGTCTGCGTGCTGACTTACGGTCTGCGTGCTGACTTACGGTCTGCGTGCTGACTTACGGTCTGCGTGCTGACTTACGGTCTGCGTGCTGACTTACGGTCTGCGTGCTGACTTACGGTCTGCGTGCTGACTTACGGTCTGCGTGCTGACTTACGGTCTGCGTGCTGACTTACGGTCTGCGTGCTGACTTACGGTCTGCGTGCTGACTTACGGTCTGCGTGCTGACTTACGGTCTGCGTGCTGACTTACGGTCTGCGTGCTGACTTACGGTCTGCGTGCTGACTTACGGTCTGCGTGCTGACTTACGGTCTGCGTGCTGACTTACGGTCTGCGTGCTGACTTACGGTCTGCGTGCTGACTTACGGTCTGCGTGCTGACTTACGGTCTGCGTGCTGACTTACGGTCTGCGTGCTGACTTACGGTCTGCGTGCTGACTTACGGTCTGCGTGCTGACTTACGGTCTGCGTGCTGACTTACGGTCTGCGTGCTGACTTACGGTCTGCGTGCTGACTTACGGTCTGCGTGCTGACTTACGGTCTGCGTGCTGACTTACGGTCTGCGTGCTGACTTACGGTCTGCGTGCTGACTTACGGTCTGCGTGCTGACTTACGGTCTGCGTGCTGACTTACGGTCTGCGTGCTGACTTACGGTCTGCGTGCTGACTTACGGTCTGCGTGCTGACTTACGGTCTGCGTGCTGACTTACGGTCTGCGTGCTGACTTACGGTCTGCGTGCTGACTTACGGTCTGCGTGCTGACTTACGGTCTGCGTGCTGACTTACGGTCTGCGTGCTGACTTACGGTCTGCGTGCTGACTTACGGTCTGCGTGCTGACTTACGGTCTGCGTGCTGACTTACGGTCTGCGTGCTGACTTACGGTCTGCGTGCTGACTTACGGTCTGCGTGCTGACTTACGGTCTGCGTGCTGACTTACGGTCTGCGTGCTGACTTACGGTCTGCGTGCTGACATACGGTCTGCGTGCTGACATACGGTCTGCGTGCTGACTTACGGTCTGCGTGCTGACTTACGGTCTGCGTGCTGACTTACGGTCTGCGTGCTGACTTACGGTCTGCTTGCTGACTTACGGTCTGCGTGCTGACTTACGGTCTGCGTGCTGACTTACGGTCTGCGTGCTGACTTACGGTCTGCGTGCTGACTTACGGTCTGCTTGCTGACTTACGGTCTGCGTGCTGACTTACGGTCTGGGGCGGCACTGGTAGCTGGCGGGCGGGCGGCAGCAGCCCTGGGAGTACAGGCTGTGAGCGGGCGGGGGAAATAACGGGAGGAGAATGGCAACGCCTCGCTGAACGAGGGAGGGAATGCGGCAAATGGGATGCGGAGGGAAGGGAGGCAAGGCTGAACAGGGAGGCCTAAATCCTACTAGGACTCGTGGAAGAGAAGCATCGTGCATGTCAGAGCGGCGAGGTAGTCACTCCACAACCAACCAGGCATGGCAAACCGGCGGAGCAGGAGAGCACCTGAGCAGGAGAGCACCTGAGCAGGAGAGCACCTGAGCAGGAGAGCACCTGAGCAGGAGAGCACCTGAGCAGGAGAGCACCTGAGCGTGAGAGCATGAGAGCATGAGAGCATGGGAGCATGAGAGCATGGGAGCATGAGAGCATGGGAGCATGAGAGCATGGGAGCATGAGAGCATGAGAGCATGGGAGCATGAGAGCATGGGAGCATGGGAGCATGCAGGCATGGGAGCACGGGAGCATGGGAGCATGCGGGCATGGGAGTATGAGAGGATGAGAGCATGAGAGCATGAGAGCATAGGAGCATGAGAGCATGAGGGCATGGGAGCATGAGAGCGAGCATGGGAGCATGAAAGCATGAGAGCATACTACCTGAGAGCATGAGAGCAGCCAGTGCAGCGAGCAGGAGGCCATGGCGCTGCTTCACAGCCATGCGTGCGGATGCGCTATGCTGATGTCGAAACTAGTACGCGGCGGGACGGTCAAGTAAGGAAGTTCACGCAGCAGCAGCAGCAAAGCTGTGACACTACTACTGTCACGAAAAGTGACGTTTTATGTACTCGCGAACGACGATATGGCTTCAGTACTTTCGGAAGATAACCGCTGTTTCGTAATAAGTAATGGTGACATAGGAAGGAGACTAGAAAATGAATTCAGTTTCCTTATGAAGGAATCTGTAAGCAGCGATGAGAGCGAAGGTAAACCTGAACCTGAAAAGTCCTGTAGAAAATGCCGCACCGCACCTCAGGGGATTAGTCGGCTGGTGGCTGGTTGGAGGCGGAACCAAAACCCCTCACGGCAAGCATGACAGCAAGGAATGGAGAGAACAGAGCCATATTATTTTTTCCTCGAATTTTATTTCCGTTTCTTCCAGAAGGGGAGCACCCTCTTAGGGAAATTGCAAGTCGTTTTTCGCAGTCAGGCGGTGTTGATTGAAACCTGGCGAATTCCCTTTCTGTGGTTTTACTATTGGAGAGGCCAACACCTTCAGGCCACAATTTGACGGACGACATGGCAGGACCTCGCAACGGTGGCGTGGCGCGGTGCTACACATGTGTACTGTACTACAATAATGCGGCGAGCTCTATTTGTACAGTATCCTCGGCAACATACAATCTGGGGTCAGGTGTGTGTATAACCGGTAGCGACCCTGGTTGGTTGAATGAATGCATGAGACGAAAACATTCCGCATGAAAATATTCCTGCGAATGCATGCTGCAGTGCCATATGGGAAGAAACAGGGTGAAGTAGAGCTATTCTGAAACAGATCTACTGTCGGAACGGAACGCAAGAAAAGACTCTGTTTGACTTGCTTGCTCATTCTCCAGAAGATGACAGCGGGGAGTGGAAATCACGTGACAGAAACTAGTTGGTGGTAACGGGAGCTGAGGGAGGATGAGTTTGTGGGTGTCCGTTCATATGCGATTTAGAGAGATTCATTGTGTGACAGATCGGCTGCTTTCACAACAGAAATATTCTGTAAGTTGTGAGTAAAAACAAAACAAACAAATACATAATTAAATTTCTATTCGCACACACGGCTCAATGAATTACGTGATTCTCAGGCTCTGTTGGGCACGATAAGGTTGGAAGAAAAGAGGATTATATATGTATACCGTCACCCCCCGGATAAGCCCCCATGGGGGGAAGTAACAAAACATGTTTTTTTAGGGGGTGGGCTTATAATTGAGTAAATTTATAAGCGCCGGGGCTTTTATAATGACATATATGAAATTTAGTGTTTTTTACATCAAAGTGTCCATCTTGTTCTTACGATTTGAATCGAGTCAAAATTAGCAAGGGCTGTGAATGAGAATCTCGCGTAAGTTGGCAGGGACAGATTTCGTGCCAACGCACTGAGTCAAAATGAGTCATGTTTCCCATGACAGGTCATTCTGACTAGACGTGCAAGAGGTGAGTCGCGCATGGGTGAATGCCATCGAAATTCGGGATGCAAAATGTGTCAGGTGGTGGTGATTCGAACAATGTTGGGGGGAGTTCCTAACGCGAGGGTTGATGTGGGGAGTGCATAATGTGTGTTTCGTTACAGATGTTCCATCAAAAATATAAAAAAAAAACAATACAGATAGAGGCGCTAATACTCTATAAGCCGTCAGGGGTGCGCTTATAATCGAGGAGCGGATATAAGCGCCATATGCCAATTACAAGTGCCTGGCGCTTATCCCAGGGTGGCGATTATATCCGGGGAGTGACGACCTTGGACTGATGCCATATGCTCCGACGATCTAGATCCGTTTTCAACTGTCTGCGTCGCTTCGAGTCAACTCTGACTCTTCATATTCGTTCTCGATACTGCGTGCCTCACTTAGCTGCGGTCGGGAGTGCACAATGATATTTCACTATTCGTAACACCCCCCTTCACTCCTGACCGTGATTTGCCTTGACCTGCTTGACCACTCCGCTGAGTTCGGAGCAATGCTGGTACTGCTGACGTGGCAGTCGCTTTGTCAGAAAGTCGGCCGCCATGTCACCGGTTGGGTAGTAGGTCAAGTCCACCTTGCCTTTGTCCACTTCTTCTTTGATGAAGAAATATCGCAGCGCGATATGTTTGGTGCGGTTGACGAACCCAGGTTTGTTTGCGATTCGTATCGCACTCTGGTTGTCACAGAGCAAGTGAAAGGTAGACGAAGCAGGAATTTTCACTTCTTGCAGGAGTTCTTGCAAATAAAGCCCCTCGTAAACTGCTGCTGTCGCAGCGATGAATTCGGCTTCGGCCGATGACAGGGCAACCAACTCATGTTTCTGTGAGTTCCACGAGATTGGCCCTGATGGTTCGAGCCGAAACAGGAACCCCGTTCTGGACCGTCGATTATCGGGGTCTGCTGCGTGATCGCCGTCCACATAGCCGACGAGGTTGAAGTTTGGGGTTGGCATTGTTGAGTAGCAGAGTCCAACCCTCGGCGTGGATACGAGGTAATGTAGTGCCCTCTGCAAATCCAGGAGGTTCTAGGCCGTTCGTTTGCGAGAGTACTGAGCCAGTTGGCTCGCGGTGCATGAAAGGTCAGCCCTACATGTTACTGAGGCAAAAAGCAGGCATCCCAGTTGCTGTTGGTAAGTTTGAACTCCAGCTGGGGACAGGGCTTTGTTGTCGGGTTTGTGGTTCGGTCCGGGAGTGCGGTAAGGGGTAGAGAGTGGTGCAGCTGTGATGTTGAACCGCTTCCTCAGTTCTTCTGCATACTTAGCCGCTGAGAGATGTATGGCGTCCGGCGCGTAGGTGATGTTAAGACCCATCCCGAGATCCAGGGATAGTGTGGTAGCTGTTTGAAGCCCATTTCGAGCAGAATGTTGTGCAGAAACTGCTGCCAGAGCCTTGGGGTCTGTTTGGTGCCGTAAAGGGACTTGCGTAACTGGCACACACGCGGGTCTCCTTCGCCGTGCGTGTGTGGTTGTTCGACGTAGATGACGGCATCTACTAATGCATACGGGAAAGCGTTCTTAACGTTGATTTATCGAAGCGGCATGTGTCTTACGGCAGATTCTAGCTAAAGTGTAATGGCTGACCGGCACAAACATCTGGTCGAAGTCGATGCCGTGCCTCTGATCGTAGCCACGGACGACCCAACACGCCTTGAAACGTTCGACCGTCACATCAGCCGCGGTTGTCACGCGGAAGACCTATTTGCCCGAGAAAACCCTTCGCCCCTTGATTGCTGCTTGATCAACGAGCACCCAGATGTCGCGGGATTCTAACGCCTTGATTTCTGCATCCATCGCCTCCCTCCATTCCTTTCTATGAGGTCCTGTCAGTGCATGCCGTGGGTTCTTTGGCTCGATGACATGTGGCGCCGATGCAGTGGCAGCGTAAAGGCCCAGTAGCTGCAGCCTGTGACGGTGTTGTCGTAACTATGCTGCGGAATTACTTCCTGCACGTCGTCATCGTCGCTCTCAGGTTCAAGCGGCTGTGGCGAAGTTGCGCCTCCTCCACTTCTCCCTGTGCCTCCAGTGTCAGAATGTTATGCTCTAGCCTGTAGTGGGGTGCTCTATAGCGAGTACAACCCTTCTAGGGTTTGCTATTTGTATCCTCATTCTTGCTAGTGCAACCCCCTTTTTACCTAAACTGTTTCTTGCCTAGCTAGGGCTTTCCTAGCTATGGCTCCTAAGACTACTCCTTACTTTCACATGGAATCAGAGCTATATGCTTCTGGCCTGTGGGCCCCACTTCACTGCTTCCGCTGCTACTGCTACTCCCTGTCCGCCGCGCGCCCCGTGGTGCGCGGCGTCGAGATTAGGGTTTTCACCCCGCCGCGCGCTCCGAGCGTGCGGCGGTTTTCTGCCCGCCGTGCGCCCCGAGGCGCGCGGCGGTTCTCTGCCCGCCGTGCGCCCCGAGGCGCGCGGTGGGTTTCTGCCCCGTCACACCGCGCGTTGCTCCCGGGAGGCGCTGCGACGGGCGACGGGGACCCGCGCGTCGCCCTCCGTCGCCCGTCATGGCCTGCGCGCGGCCCGTACAGCCGGCGCGCGGCCCGTACGGGCTGCGCCAGGCCCTTGCGCGGCTCGGGCCGCCTGCGCGCGGTTCGGGAGGCTGTGCCAGGCCCGTGGGCGGCCCGTTCTTCGCTGCCCTTGTCCTCCCCGCTGTCCCCCGTGCTTCTGAAGGCGCCCCACCCCTCCTTCTGCCCGTTCTCCTGGATTAGGGTTTGGGGGTGGGGGGTATGGGGGTGCAGCTTCTGTGTGCCGTTCCCTTCTCCTCCTCCTCCGTCTCCCTGTGCTGCAGCTGCCGCTGAGGGGGGGTGGACTTGTTGGAGCTGTCGGAGTGGTACTAAGGGGGGGTGAAGGGGGAGTGGAGCTAGGGGTGAAGCAGGGGGTGTGTGTCAGGGGGGGTGGTACTGTTTGGGGGAGGTTGAACGGAGGTTGCCGTCGTGTCGCCAGCAGCACCTGTAGTCCGGGGAGTTGCTCCGGTAGCCCAGTCGTAGCCACCTGTGCCAGTCGCCCGTGGGTCCGTTGCTCGTCTGCCACTACTTTTAGCCGCGGGGCCAGTTAGTCCAGTAGTCCAGAGTGCTGTTCCGGTAGCCGCTGTGCCAGTGTGCCTCCTGTTGTCCGTGTGTCTGCAGCTTCAGCCGTCGCCTCCTATCTCCTCTCCTCTCACTGTCCCTCCTCCTCCTCACTTGCCCGTTGTGACTACCACTAGCTTTGCTCATAATTGTGAACTTTAAACTATTGCTTCTTGAACTTGTGCTCAGAATGTGTGGTGACATTGTGATCCACCCTGAGCTTGTTCTGCTTTGCTTGCTCTGCTGATTACACCCCACTTTGGCTATGGGGGTGTGTCAGAATGTTATGCTCTAGCCTGTAGTGGGGTGCTCTATAGCAAGTACAACCCTTCTAGGGTTTGCTATTTGTATCCTCATTCTTGCTAGTGCAACCCCCTTTTTGCCTAATCTGTTTCTTGCCTAGCTAGGGCTTTCCTAGCTATGGCTC